TAGAGCAAAACAGTTTCACACTCTTTGACCGTATATTTTAATATTATTTTCTGTAAAATTATAAAAAAAGAAAAAATCCTAATTCTAGTTTAAACGATCTTATTTTCCCTTAAAGTTAGCTTTCTTACAGAAACCTGGTGTTCCTTTAAAAAGCTCAAGTACACGGTGAAACAGGTATTGCCAACCAATAATAGATGAACGTTAGATGACAGTAACGTGTAGAAAACTCAATGCTTTTCTATACACTATACAATAAGTGTTTTTAGGAAGCTACCCCCTATATTATGTATGAAGTGAAGGAGGGAAAAAAATCGATACACATATAGGTCATCAGAAGCTAGATATGATGAGCTACCTGGCGTAGTCGCTTTATATCCGGTGTATATGCCGCTTCTCAGCTAACCCGGGCGTCCTAAAGTCGAAAACCGGCGAATAGCCAAAACCGAGATTTCTTATTTTCGTTTATCATCATCTTTCTTCAACAGGCCCAGCGCCCACCTAGTTCTAGCAGTTACTGTAATTTTATAATAATTTGATAGAGCAAAACAGTCTTCACAGTCTTTGACTCTATATTTTATTATTATTCTATACAAAATTTGTAAAGCTTTAGAATACACTCTATAATCTAGTAACCCACGTGAAAAACAAAAATGAGAAAATTGGCAAAACAAATTTAACTAGAAATTCCAATCGCAAAAATGTTATTTTATTGTAAATAATCATAAAAGTAGTATTTTAAAGTTAACTGAAGAGAAAGTATAATGATGAAAGCTGATATTCTTTTCCAACACCAGCTTTATAGACAAAGTGGGGAAGCTAGCAATGTAGGGATTTTATTCTCCATGCAAAGTCGAGACGGCTTAGACTGCCATGTGATCATTAGCCTGATCAAATGATATGTCAACTTCCATTCCTATCTTTTTTTGTTTCTTTTTTTTTCAAGCTCAGTAGCCAGCCATAACATAGCTTTTTTATTTAGCGATATTTTTTTCCTAATATTTGTAGTACATACTTCCAAGTGGGAGTCTGCAGAAACTAGATAGTTGGTTCACATAGGAGCTTTAAAAGAGTATATTCTATAAGTAATTTGAAATATACGTATATCATCTAGTCTCTGTCTTTTTCTAGACCTATAATGAGTTTAATTCCTTCACGTGTGGATACTACTGTCGGATTATGTAGGGGTCTGCGGTGGCTCTGCTCATGTCAAAAGGGTCTTTAATTTTAAGAAACGGGCCAATTGTGACCTAGTGGTTAGTGTGTGTGAAGCTGCGGCTGCGAATCCAAAGATCCAAAGTTCGAGCCGCGATATACCTCTGAATACACTTCATTTAAGAGTAGCCTGTTCGCGGCGGAATGCGAATGAATTTCTCTTCTTAAGGTTAGCAGATCTAAATCAAGGGTAGCTGTTTCTGAACCTTTGGTTTCTGACCTGTTCATTTATTTCATGTGTCGCATAAAGTGTTGTTTGGGTTGAAAATATCAGTACCAATACCCAAACTCAAAAGCATTGGAATGTTTCTTACGACAAGAAGTTATACTTATATATCGCAAACTTTATGCTCTGACATTTATCTTATATTGGTAAATTCAAGCGATCCTTATTAACTCTTTTAAACCATTTTTAGGCTTTCATTACTTTGTTAATTTTTGGGACATGTTTTTTGTTGTATTATATTTATGTTCAAGGGAACTATCAACCTAATGTTTCACAAGCAGTTTTAGTGATATTCGACACTATTTTTTCTGTTCGTAAAGAGGCGTTGTATTACTAATTGGGTTCGAAATATAACACATTCGAACAATAATATCACAGTGAGAACCCTTTTTTTTAAACACAAGTTTGTTTGTTATAGAAAGTAATTATGTAAATGTTAATTTACAATTCGGAACAATAACAACGCTTCGATATCACTTTCTTTCACCAAAAGTTTTTTCCAATGCAAAATTGATATACATTGTTTTCACTTAACCCCATTCTTCAAAAATAATATCATTTTTCCTCACCTGAAGTTAGAGAAGGAAGTATCAACAAATCTTACAAACAGTGGGACCTTAATAATAGAATTTAGAAAGTGATTTTTAACGCTATTTTACGTGTAGTATATCTAATAATAGAGAAATATTTTATGTATCAGATTCACTGCATAATGTTACCAAAACGTTGCATTTCTAAGCCGTTATTGAAACACCAGTGCATTCATATGTATGAAATTGGTTCGAAAAGCATGACAGTGACTTTGGTCATATTCTTTGACTTTCACAATCACCGAATTTCAATCCGATTGAGCATCCCCGAACTGAAATTCGACATTGAATTCACCATAGTAATTCTAAATCAATATTTGTCATTAAGCAACAGGGAAGAATAGAACAGGACATCTAGCATTTTTGTGAAGTCTATGCCATGTTTAGTCTAGCTTATTGATGTGTCGAAAAGTATTGGCTATAATAATTTCCTTAGTATTATAAGATTACTATTACACAGAACTAAAGTTAATCATTCAGATATCCAGAGCGTTCCAAAGTCGAAAACCGGAGAACAGCCAAAACCGAGATTTCTAATTTTCGTTCATCATCATCTTTCTTCAACAAGCCTAGCGCCCACTAGTTCTAGCAGTAACTGTAATTTTAATCATTTGATAGAGCAAAACAGTTTCACACTCTTTGACTGTATATTTTAATATTATTTTCTGTTTTATAATAAAGTTATATATTTAAAAAACAGCACAGTTAATCGAATAATTCAGATAAAGTGTAAATGCTG